AGATGTCTAGGACTAAAATCGGTAAAATTATTTCATTCTATTAAAACTTTCATTTCTAAATAAAAATCAGGTTTTTTGTAGATTTATTTGGTTAAAAAAATAAATTTTTTATTTTAATTTTTAAATGTTACTAAAATAGTTTTAAAAAGTCGAACATTAAATAAGGATACAACCAATTAATCAGTTGGCTATCAACTATTTAGTAAAAAAAATTTTTCTTCCAAAGTATGAATCTAAAAAGGCTCAAATCTGAGGTTATTTTTAGATGCTTTTTAATTGCAACTTGTTTTTGCTTGCAGTATTTTTAAGTCTTGTTGACAAACTCTTTTAAAAATGCCCATTGATATTAAGTTAATTTGACAATCACTTTTCTAGTGCAAAAAATAAATCAATTATTTGATTTAAACAACACTGTTTCTCCCGTTGAAAAGAAAATATCCTTTGAAAAAACAAGTAAAATATCCTTGGAGCAAAATAGAAAGGACAGTTCATTTGAAAACGGTAAATGCATATTGTCCCCTCTAATTAATTATATGTCTTCTAACAAAATAATGGCTCACATAAATGGAACCATTTCGAATAATATACTATTTATCACAATACAAGTTAATGTGCTATGCAAAATAGAAGACAATACAGGCCAAATTATTAGATTCTATGTAAAATCTTAATTATCAGGTCACACTCTACAGCAGGGATGGGCAAACTTTTTTGGTCCTGGGCCAAAAATCTGGAAAAAAAAAGTTTCGTGGGCCTAGTAAAAACTTCTAAAATAAAAATTCTAACTTCTGAAATAAAATAAAGTCAATTCATCATTGAACGCATGGCACTCTACATCAACTTTGCATTTTTTGGTTGCCATTTTGGGATTAAAAATGTTTACAAATAACTCAAAAAGGCAGTAGCCATTTCATACATTTAATAATTTCACCATTATTTACATTGACGTTGTATGCGTGCAGCCTTTCCATACGCAGTAAATTATGTTAGAACTCACGCCGGAAGAAAAATCCGCTCGTTGGAACTTAAAATGCGTAGTAAGCCTCATGTGAAGTACAATTCACCTATATTAGATTCCATATGTCTGCTCCTCGAGAAAGACAAATACTAGTTGGAGCTAATCTACGGCTATTCTATNATAATAACGAGGAAAAAAGGAAAAAAAACTGATTAAAAAAAAAAAGGATGAAATTTTTTAAAAAAACCGGAAAATAAAAGATATATTCTTTTCATCAGCCCACACGATTATATCCGCAAAAAAGAGTGCTTTCTGATATTGTATCAATATAGCCAAAGCAAAATATATCAATATAATAGTGTGAGGAGCACTCAAAAAAAATTTTTTTACAAAAATTACAGCAAATGAAATAGAACACAATAAGTAAAAATAACACGTAAAAACAGAAAATAAAATAAAATAAAACGAAGAAACAGTATGAAACAAAATCCCTAAAGCGCGTAGCGAAATCAGATGTACTTACATGAACGGGAAATTTCCCGTTCATGTAAGTTCAGTTCATGTACAAAGAATAAATAAAAAAGTTGTGGGTATTCTGTGGGTATGTTATGTAATGTGGGTATATTATGTAGTTGTCTTCATTTGTGCTCATAATCATTGGGGTCTTTCAATTTTTGAGGAGGATGGAATTCGAATAATCATTCCTCTCAAAATTTCAATTTGAAAAAAATTTTCTGCCATCTGTTTAATGCGAGAAAAGGCTTAATTCTTAAAATTGTTTAGCCATTTTTTTCTTGAAAAAAAAAGCTGAAATGTAATCAACGATTATTTTTTTTTATTTATTTGTCTTAAGAGTTTTTTAATTATAGAGGTGAATTTGGGCTAATTTAATTCCATCTTCTGCATGATGGGGCTCGCAACATAAATTATTTTTAAATAAATTTAAATAAATTTAAATAAATTTCTTTTTGTTATCAAATTTAAATGTTGTCAATTTTTTGTTCCTTCTTTAAATTGATAAATCTGAAAATGCTGAAAAGAAAATAGTGGTGAGCAATAATTTTTATCTACAGTGTTTTCTTATTGAGGCTACTATTAAATCTCGTAGAATGACATGTTACAAGAAAAAATACCCTACTAAGTACAGTTAGGGAATATTATGAGAATTTCAAAAAGCTAAAAAAAAGCATATAACGATTTAAAAACAACTAGTCGTCCGATAAGGAAATATTATTAAAATAATAATATCATGTCAGAATGAATAATGTTTAAGAGATATTTGTTATGTAATACATTATGTTTATTACATAAGTAAAATATTACTTGATTAAAAGATGCTTTCAGAACTATAGAGAGGGAACGCTCACTAACCCTTAATGTTTAAAAGACATTTGTTATGTAATACATTATGTTTATTACGTAAGTAAAATATTACTTGATTAAAAGATGCTTTCAAAACTATAGAGAGGAAACGCTCACTAACCCTTAATGCTTAAAAGATATTTGTTATGTAATACATTATGTTTATTACATAAGTAAAATATTACTTGATTAAAAGATGCTTTCAAAACTATAGAGAGGGAACGCTCACTAACCCTTAATGTTTAAAAGATATTTGTCATGTAATACATTATGTTTATGATATAAGTAAAATATTACTTGATTAAAAGATGCTTTCAAGACTATAGAGAGGGAACGCTCATTAACTCTTAATGTTTAAAAGATATTTGTTATGTATTACATTATGTTTATTACATAAGTAAAATATTACTTGATTAAAAGATGCTTTCAAAACTATAGAGAGGAAACGCTCAATAACCCTTAATGTTTAAAAGATATTTGTCATGTAATACATTATGTTTATTATATAAGTAAAATATTACTTGATTAAAAGATGCTTTCAAAACTATAGAGAGGGAACGCTCGAAAATAGATGAATAACCTTTAAATCTTTTTAATCAGGTTATGCTTATAAAGAAATTATCCTCTTCCTAATCAAAGTGTAATTTTACGAAGGAATAGTTTATCTACCATTCCTTATTCTTGAGAGCGGCTTGCATCATTGTCAAAAAGTGTGTAATATAAAACACTCTACTCTAGATACGTATTTTAAATCAATCTATTTTATATGTTTTTTAATGCAATTTTATCATTGAATGAATATTTTTTGCTTCTTTGAAAACTGCTATTATCTAGTTTGTCTACAGTAAGAACTCCCTCGCATTCTCCTGCTATGGAAACAAGACTAGCGCACTTACTCTAAGGCTAAAACACTAGACCGAGGAATCTCTTGCCGGCCAAAACCTGTCCCAAACAATGACCCCACACCCCAACTTGAAATAGTTATACCTCGTTACCATAGTCACCGCCACGGATCCAGACGACTGTATAGGGGAGATCTTATTTTAGACAAACTATATATTGCCGTTATAGTGTTTTGTAAATATTTCTTGCACCTCCTTTCTGTGCCTTACGAAGGCAGGTTCTGGGTGAATAGTATGATTGTTCCATATTATTTTATTATGCATGTACTATACTATAGTATGCATACATCAGATAAATATCTATTCAATTAATTTCTATGCACTCTTATGAGCTTATCTATCTTTCACAAAAATCATGAAATTGCGTTCTATGCATCTATACATAGGCATAGGATAGGATAATGAATAGCTTTTTCTAATGAAATAAGTAAAATTATTACCTGGAGTAGTTTCATTTATGTATGCACTGTTAAAAATTACACGTTGCACCTAAAATTAGTATTCATTGCTGGCTACATAAAATGGAGCTCAATTTTACCATATTTTGGTATTTTTACTAGCTCCAAATATCAGTAGAAGATTGCGCCAAAAGTAAATGTTTTGAAGAAACACCTATTTACATTCTTTCTTTTTTTTCTTTCATAAAAGTAGAGCAAGGTTGCACCATTGCTAGGTATTTTTTAAAGCGTTCAAATGCAGGCCAAGGTATTTACCGTACGAAGATATTTTATGGCATAACCATTTAATGCCGCCAACCAAATTTAAAAAGGCAACATAAAAAAAGATCTATGCAAATAAGTAATTTACTTAACTAAATAAGTAGAAACTTGAAACAACATGCATTACTTGTCCCGATACACCGAGTCGTAAAGAAAACATGACGCCGTAAACAAATACAGTCACCGTTGTGTCTCTTACCAAATTTTGGCGCAGTCAGTTGCACCGTGGAAATATTTCTCGATCATAATTTATGGCTCTCATTTAGAAAAACCAAATGCTGGCTGAAAATTTACTTCAGACGCTGTCAATTAAGCTTTTTAAAACAGAAAAGAAAAACAAAGAAATCTATTTTATGCAATCAGAAGGCATACTGATAGTTAAGACAAAGAAACGTAAAGTTGCTATTTATGAAACTTTTTCTTAATGTCAGAAGAATTTGCAATGAAAATGACCTGGTAAACAATTTAAGGTTGTTAAAATTAGTAGATCTTAAAAGTGCTTTTGAAAAATTAAACGAATAATTATTTGATATATTATTTTTGAAATTGTTAAAGTATTAAAAGAAAATAGTTGAAGAAACGAAAAGAAGCTTCTTTTCTTTCGACCAAAATAACTTTCAAAAAGCTTACTTGAGATGATTTAAAATTATATTATAAAAAATTAAATCTAACATTTTTTGAGGGCTCAAATTGTTCAAAAATTTCTGTTATTACAAAAAAAACTTAAAGTATAAAGGAAATGTAATTCGTTAGTTTAGAATTACGATATTTCAAGTTAATATAGGGACTTTGCGTAACTAAATTAAAAAATAATTCGCCAGATTTCGATTTTTGTTACTTTACCTAGTTCAATATTAGTTTGTCACTTCAATTAAAAAAAATACATATTAAGGGTGTCAATTTAAAAAAATACATATTAAGGGTGTACATTACGGAACACCTTGTATCTAACAAACATAATTAATAAGTAAAAATTATCATTGAAACTTTGAAGTGAATAATATATTTGAATCAAAATTGATAATTTCAATGAAATAAATTGAAGTAAAATCAACTTACTGTCAGCGCAATCAGGTCCTATGTATCCAGGAAAACAATGACATTTACCAAGATGACAATTTCCGTGCTCATGGCAGGCATTTGGACAAGTTAATGGAATTTCATCTGAAAATATCGAGAGAAAAATAACAATTAATTCAATATAACAATATTTCTAGCAAACATAAATTTTACTAAATATCGGGAAAAAAATACATTTAAAGACAAAAAAGAATTTCCGATTTCTAAGGGACTAAATTATAGATCCGGATCATGAAGACTTTTAGGAGTTTATAGGTAAGACTTTTAGTGGATCATTTATAAACTATACATAAAACTAAAATGGAGCGTACATTAAACCTCATAAATTTGTTGATTTTGCACATGAGTTTAATTTACATTTCTAACTCAGCATCAGAAGTTTTTGCGGCACAGACTGGGGAGCTTCTCCACAACCCTAAAGACCACATATACCTCACTCATTAGACCCATTATGGAGTATGCTTCACCGATCTGGGCGCATGCCTCTGATACCGCCCTAAACAAGTTGGAAAGCGTACAAGCGAGAGCAGCAAAGATAATAACCGGTGCAGTGTCTTCCACAAACAATGGCAAGATAACCAGAGAGTGTGGTCTAAAAAGTCTTCAGAAGAGAAGGAAAATAAATATAATAAAGTTCACCAACAAAGCACGAAGTCGCGTACCTGAACATATTTCTCGCATTACTTTCGAAGAATGGAATGCCAAGAGAAGACTGAAAAGATCTTCACCTATGCAATACGATAGAGATATCAGAGCAATCGTAGGCCTTGAGCACAGAAAATTTGTCATTCTACAAGAACCAATCTTCCACAAAAGGCTTCCACTGAACACAAATATCCACATTAACCTCTTAGAGCCATGCAATAAAAATGAAAACAAAGATATCATTAAAGAAAAAGGACTCAAGACAATTGAACAGTTTCCAAAAGAGAACTTTGTACATGCATATACAGATGGTTCCTCTGATAAAACTATCACAAATGGAGGCTCCGGAGTGTTTCTAACTACTTTAAGTAATTCCCCTAAACAAGGTATATTTGGAGCAGGCGCTATAGCCTCTAACTTCACCTGCGAGCTACGGGCAATTTTGGAAGCCCTTAATATGCATAAAGCCCTTCCCACCTCTGAGCAAGCAAAGGGCTTCGTTATCGTCTGCGACTCGAAAGCTGCCCTCCAAGCAATTTTAAAAGGGGACTCTTCCATCACCCAAGAAATCATTTCAAATCTTCATGATCTTCAGGACTTAAACAGCACCTGTACTCTTCAGTGGATGTCAGCACACGTTGACATTGCAGGAAATGAAAGCGCAGATAAATTAGTCAAGGATGCCAGAAACCTAAACTTTAATGACTGTAACGTCTTCATCCAAGATGCAAATGCAATTGCTAAATCTAAACTAAGAGAAAAACCAATTCCAACGAAACACATGATTTGTAATATAAATGCAGATAGATCCACAACAAAAACTATAGCCAGGCTGAGAACCAACCACCACAGAGGCATGAAGATCGAAAGAGAGGGCAGGAAAGTATATAGGAATTGTGGAAACTGCTGAGATACGCGGCTGACACTATGCCACATCTTTTAGTGTCCAGCAATGAGTGCTAATCTGAGAGAAATAGGAGTCTTGCCGTCATTGATAGACCTTTAGGACGATAACATCAAGCAAATCGCAGAAGCAGTAATCAGGACGCATGGAAACATTTGGAAGAAAAAAAACTCAGCATATAATATTAAAGTAGTTAAACTACAAAAATTGTTAGTCCTTAAGATAAGTTTTATAATGATGGCAAGTAAATTTCACGGTTTTAAAATGGAACGGTGTCATAATCTTCGTATGAAGCATCTAAGGCATACCTAAATTTCGCCTAAAAAGCTGATATATTTTTTACTTACTTTAACCCACACATCTTTATTTTTTAAAAATACAATCAGAAATTTATGATTCGAGAACGTGGTAAAGTCATCTCACTTTTATCTCATTTTATAAAGAAAATTTCTTTTTTAAATTATATGTGCGTGTTTTTTTTTCTTTTATTATATTATTCAAATGGATATGTAACCTGTATTTTATTCAGTTATTAATTTGATTGCAGTCTTAAAAGGCTGAAACATTCTTATACCAATTTGACGATGCCTCATGAAAATGGCGTCTAAATTAGCAACATTTAGTGGAGGAAAATAAACTTCCAATTTGATGTTTGTTAAACAATGTAATAACCCTAGCAGTAAAATAACTTGGGCCACCACTGGACTAATATTCACTGCTCAATAAGGGTTCAAAGAGCCGTTATTTAAAGAGCCAAGAGCCGACTTTACTACCGGCCCTATATAGAATTATCAGTTTTGACCGATATTCATTAATCAGCCAATATAGGCCCTATATTGGTCCCCTAAAGGCCGAATATACCCCTATGTAGGACCAATATTAAAATACATCCCTATATTGGTTCCATGTTTATATAGGACCCATATTGAGCCAATTTTGAACCCAACAAGGGCAAAGGTAAAGTTTTTGCTAGGGAATATGTAATTAATCAAAATCTTGACTAAAACACTTTTATATTAAAGTTTTAAAAAAATATTTTTGCATTTAAATTTATATTATTGAAAAATCAGTGCTGATTTCTTTTACAGTGATTGGATAATAAAAAGAAAGGATGATACATACGTGTAATATTTGGAGTAAAAACAACGAATATTGGCTTATTATCATCGTTGATTAGAGTGAGATACCATGTTCCAGCTTCCAAATAGTGAAGAAAATTAATTTCTTCAACTTGCTGTAAAAGAATGATTAATTCAATTTTTGTTTCTAACAATTGAATCAAGAGTTGTTAAAATTGTGTTCATTTTTGTAAATTGTCATACTAGTAAGCTCACAGAAAAATTGAATTCATTGATTTGAGTAATTTTTATTTAAAATCTCGCTAAATTAACATTTTTAAAAATAACATATTTTCAATAAAATTATTGCGTAAAATAATATTTACCACTGATGTTGTCCTTTTATAAAGTCGATCTGCAATAACTTCCATGATGTCATATGCTGTAATGGATGGAGGCTCATTCCTTCTCGCCAAAAGAGCCATTTTGGCACTGTGTGGTAGAGAAAAATTAAATCGAACAAATGATGCATCTGAATGTAAGAAAAGTAAGTTCCAAGATTCGTGAGAACTCAAATGTTTCTTTAAAATCTTTCCAAGTTCAATCTTTTTATAGAAGGACACTTCAGTTGGGCTCAGAAAACATACACGTTGATTGGAGGATTGACCAGATGAAATTGAAACTGAAAAGACATTCGTTTAATAACTCTTTTTTTTCAAGAAATCATGTAAATTTCTTTAGATGAAATTACTTAAATCTGTGTAACTTGAGATTTAACTTACAGAGTCATTGTTTTTTTATATCATACTTATCTCACATATGTTTGAATATACATGTTAATAGTTTTATCATATGGACAACCTAAAAAGGAGTTTAATTTAGCTCTTTACCAGTTCAGAGAAAAACATAATAACATTAAAATTTAACTAAGAATTTTATTGTTGATCAACAGATGAAGGGTTAGTATTAAATGACACTCCTAGATAAATTTGACTTTTTTCAACGGACAACGTATGAGATAAACAGGTTACAAAGATATTATGGCTCCGGATAATAGAGGTGGTCAATTTGACATTGTTTACAGTAAACAGAAATTGTGTGTAAAAATTTATTGTTTGCAAATATTTAAAATTAGTTTCTCTTTTACTCATTGCTATGGTAAATCATCGATTCTGTCAATCATGACTCTTCCCAAGTCAAAATTTTTGATAATTTTCCATTGATGGACCAACATAATCTTGATGGTAACCATCATTACTTCCATCATGAACCATTATATTTTTTGATAGTAACCAACATAAGTAACCATCACCTCAATGTAAGAATTTGGACTGATTTATGTTGGTCCAACATAGGAATAGCAACTTATTTTGTTCATGTTGAATCATCGAGAATTTCCATCATAGTATCTTAAAAATCAAGTATTGGGACGATCATGAGCAACCATCATTCCAATGTAGAAATTCGGACTGATTTATGATAGTCCAACATAAAAAACCCAAATTGTTCTGCTTCCTGAGAACCAGAAAGAATTCCCATTAAACCATCATGGAAACGTATAGTTGGAACCACATGAACCATCATGGATTGTTGGTCCATGAGAGTCAAACTTCTCTTAATGGTTAACCATTATAGTATAAAAGTAGCATTTTTCATTATGGAATGATGGAAGTTTGTTGACATATCAAAAACCATGAACACGTATAGAGAAATGTTGGATGATGGCGACCATCAAATGATGTCGGACTATCATGAATTGGACTGAAACCATCAAAATGTTTTGAGGGGACCATCAAGAATTTTGACTTGAGATCTCTTTTTCAATCATCCGTTTACAGATGCAATAATTTATTGCATATATAATTTCGTCCTTCCCAATTTTCTCAATCATAGATTCCCTCTTACAGTTTGTCTAAAGTAAAAACTCCCCTAGCCATTCATCTGGACCCGTGACTATGGTAACGAGGTATTTCAAGGTTCAGGACACGCTCGGAACGGCGAGAGAAAATGTATCTTCGGTCTGTTGTGTTAGTCCTAGAGTGAAATGCCCTATTCTTGTTACCATAGCAGCAGATGGCCTCAGACAAACTATACATGCATTTAGTTATGGATTCATTTCTTTAGTCAATGGTAAATCCACTTTGTTCAAAAGAAGGAACCTACTTTTGCTAGGAGTAGAAGCTGTTGGATAACTTTCTCTTTCTTCAACCACAATGCATGGTTTACTTGATTCAGCAGAACTCATTGAGTTTGTTGCTGCAAATACATTTAAAAAAAATGAATCAGACAAATGATTGTGAAAATTTCGTCTTATTTTTAGAATCTTTGTTAAAAATGAAAGAAAAAATATTCAAGCCCTTATTTTGAATGGAGAAATACTTTATTAAGACATTAAACAAGAAAGACAAGATTAAACATATTGAAGCCTGTTTACTTGCCGGAGGAAATTAAGCGAAGCGGCCAAACTGGCTTTTTAATGCTTAGTCAATTCCCGTTTATTTTAACTTTTTCAATTCCGAACTTACTTTTAATCTTTTGACAAATTACTCTAATGATTCGATAGATTAATTTGAGAAGCTTACTTTAAAATGATATGCATTTAAAGTCAGAGAACATTATTCTGTCTTTGATAAGAGTATTTAATTTCAAAAATATTATTTTTGCCAAAAATGTTTTAATATTATGTTATTTAATACCGTCCACCACAGTTTGGTTGAAGAATGCTTCCAAACATTTGTTATTATCGTAAAAATAAAGAAATAATATCAAAAAAAATATTAAAATTTGTAAGTAACAAATTGTGTTACAATTTTGGAATATTCAAAATTTTATCTGAAAATAATTAAAATTGTCAATTAATGAATTATTCAAGATGCAATAAAGAACAAATTATGTATTAACTACGGGTCAAGAATAATAATTTGTTTCCATGAATCTTTTATCTTAAGATCGACAATATCTATTCTTGAAAACAGAAAAACGTCGACAAAATCTTTTCGACAATTAGTTCTATTCTTATGAAGCTGAGTTTATTTAAAAGGAACCATTTCTGTCATACTAAATAACTAATACAACTAACTTTCTTTTTAAATGACAACAAACAAGGGTCAAAAAAATCTTACATGCCTCATGTTAGCCAACAAAATACATGCCAAAATATCGATGTCATATTAATGATTATGACTTATCGGTCACAAAAAATGAAACATTATTTCTACACTTTTATTTTAAGTACAAATCGGAATTATTGATTATTATTAACAAAGAAGTAATGTTATCAAAACTATTAAATACTATCGACTAGTGCAATGCCCTTCAAACTGTTAAACCCTTTTTATTTGAATCATTTGCTTATGTATAAAAAGCGGGGATTTTTTTAATAAGCATGACTAGGGGAATAAAAAAATATCTTAAATAAATTTCTATGATTAAATTCAATAGTATTTAGTTATTAAATGAAATTGATTTTCTGGCATTCATCATATTTCTAATGAAATCCTTACATGCAATATTTGTGAACTATCTTGATTGTTCAGTATCAAATTAAAAATAAAAAAGCAAGGGTTCAATTCCAAATTTGCTTAATTTGCTAATTTAAAAAACAAGGATAGAAAAGTCAATTCTTAATTTGCTAAATTAGAAAACAAGGTTAGAACAGTGTATACTTAATTTGCCTAATTTGTTAAATTAAAAAACAAGCATAGAAAAGTCAATTCTTAATTTGTTTTCCTCTCAAGACTGGTTTTTCTTCGTTGTTGAATGAATATACTTACTTTATATTTTAATAAGTTATCTTTTTTTAATAAACCAATCAAATAAACAAACGAATAGGAAAAGGGTTTTCAAAAAGTCCAGCTTTTGGTTTAACCGCTGAGCCTTCATGATCTTTGCTTATTTTTGGTTCCTAACTTTTTATTTAAATTATTAAAATTAAATTGATTATGTATTATTAATAAAAAAAGGGTGATTGTCAAGATTATTTTAAAAGCTCCAAAATATTTATTTTCATGAAATAGGCAATTATTTATTTCGGAAATCTTATTTGGATCTTCGACATTAAGAAAAATTCAAAATAAACTCGACAAAAAACATGGAGCAAAATGGCCTTTTCCATGATCTAAAACATTTTGCAAAACACATATAATGACTTGTTACTGTTATTACAAAATGATACGCAACATGTTAAGTTGCCAATCAAATTCAATGTTCTCATTCAATTGGAATAATTAAAATACAAGTAATATTATTATTTTTCGGAGTTTGTTTTGATAAAGGGTGCATGAAAATAGTTATTTTACCTGCATTAAATTTGATAAAGAAAATTGATTAGTTTTAAAACAAGAAAATGAGAAAAAAATGTTCTCAGTTAGTTTGTTAGAGTATATTTCTGAGATTAAATCACAATGATACTATTAATTATTATGCATTCTTTTAACTTAGGAATAAATGTGATTTAAATGTATTTCATTTTGTTCCAGCTTTGATTTTCATAAAATATAAACATGAAACTTTGTGTTTAAGAGAAGTATTCCGTCGAACATATTTGAAATCACTTGCACATTAGTCACGTGATGGGGATGTTATTTAAAAGTGATCTCTTCTCATGATGATTGTTATTGATTCATTATTAAATTACTCAGCCACGCCCGCCGATCAATTCTTTATTTATTGAGGTCATTTTTCTTTCCTAATATCTCCCTATGTTCCTTCAATCTTCTCATTTTATCATACAAAAGCACATTATTGCATTTCATTTTACTGTCTATTTGCATATGTGTATGAATATATTTTTACGTTTTTATAGATAAAAATAGGACGCTTCTTATCATACAAATAGAAATAATCGGACAATAATGATTTTTGCAAACATTATTATGAAATCAATGCCCCTTTATGTACAGTCCGTGGCATTAATAGATTCTACGTGAAATCTTAATTATCTTGTGATACTAAACAGCTTTATTGTTTTGACTTGGCATTTCTTTACGTTCGTGTATTAATTGGTTAACATTGTAATGCAATACGTTTAAAATAAATACAAATATCCCGAATAAAAACCCATTACATGTATGTTTAACTATAAAAGTATCGCGTATAAACTCGTGCAAAGCATGACATTAGTAAAAAAACTACAGTAATTTGGTCTAATTATTATAATATACTAATAAAATACCTGATATAATAAATATTCTATACTTATATATCGTCTAATTTATCCAATCGTCGAATCTATATTATATATCGTCTAATTTGATTAATTGATACGTAAACAAGTGCAAACCGGTTTCAGTCGCGTAAAAACAATAAAGCTGTATGGTTTCACCTGATGACAAGATTTTACATAGACTCTCAAAGTGGGTCTAATAATTTGACCAGGGACTGTAAGTTTATCGTTTTTTTTTTTAAGTATCACCAAATAATAATAATAAGGTCTTCAATTGCATGATTCAGTGATCGATTTATTTACTTCTACTCTAGATCATGACTCCCAGGGAACTAATTTTAGTGAAAAAGAAATTCCAAAAAGATCATAAGATGTTATATATAGTCTAATTTAACCAATTGATACACAAACGAAAACAAGTGCAAACCGGTTTCAGTCACGTAAAAACAATAAATTTGTGTAATATCACCTGGCAATTAAGATTTTACGTAGAATCTTACAGTGCGTCTAATAATTTGGCCTGTATATTTTCAGGACTTTGTTATTTTTTAAATTATTTCTCTTTCTTTTCATTTGTAAGTATGGATATTGCATTTTCTATAAGATAGAAAAGAAATCGGTGTTTGTATTACACTTTAATTTCAGTCTATCCAAAAGGCTTTCAAGTATGAAAAGTTTCTTTGCCGCATCTCAAAATGGAATAAATCCTCTTTGTCTTGGGTTAAAATGTTTAAAAAATTAAAAAAAAGCACATTTTGAACTCAATGCAGTGATAATCTGTTAGTGGATGGAAATGACCATGGATCGATAAAGCTACAAACATTCAAAATACTTAAGCATATAAAATTTCAATTTATTTTAACAAGAAAACATTATGAATACGAAATTCATTAAAGATAACTTGTGTTGTTTTTAACTAGACTTTCAAGTGAAAAAAAAAACCTTGATCTAAATTTTTGATTCAGCTAAATCTACAGAATTAATAATTTATAAAGGTACATGAAAATTACAAATGAGTTATTTTGTAAAAATTGTTCAACTCATTATAAGATTTTAGCAAATGTTTCCCTTTCAACGAAATAATTTCGAAGAGCACTTTTTTGATAAGTCAAATTGAGTTTTTAAATTTATTTCTACTACTTTTTTAATATGTTAAAATGTTTTGCAAGATATAAATTATTAAAGAATTTTAAGTTTTAACTTTGCAGGTTATTTTACAAAATAAATTGTGTCTCGAACTTTAAATTAAATCAGTCGCCTTTCTTCTAAAATCTCGTGAAGTTTAAAATTCAAAATACTTTATATTTTGTAATCCAATTTTTTAAAAAAAAGCCTACTGAAGAAAACAGAATAAAACCTGCTCCTTAAGGATTTTTTTTTCAAAGTAATGCCGTTGATAAAATTTACTAAATGTTTATTTAAATTGCAAATTAGTCCTCCAAAAATGGGAACCATTTAATAATAAAAACTATTTTGGATTTTTGAAGGGATGACCTTTCAACGCATAATAAATTAATGATTTTGTTAGTCACTCTTTCATAATTCTCCAAAATAGTTGAGAAAATATATGCAAGAAATTAATTGAAGGTAAAAAGGTAGGTTTTATTATCGTACTTCTCACGTTAATTTAAAATACCACTCATTCATAACGTTTATTCATTCATATGACATTTCATGACATGTGATCAAAAGTTTGCGTCGTGCACTCATTTAATTTTCCATAGCTTTATTTTAAAACAAGTCAAAATGAATATTTTCAAAATTATATGTTCACCTTTCATTAAATTCTAAAGAAGGAATTTAAGAAAGGGCAAATTAAATATTTTCATCAGTAGTTGTTCGTTAAAGAGTGTCTTGCAAATTTTTTACAGTCAACAAAATTTAAAGAAGCTGATACTTTTTTTATATAAAAAATTGCTATTATAAAATGTGATCATAATGTTTTGTTACCTGTTTTGTTATTTGTTTTGTTATCTGTGTTTTTTGTTATCTTTTTGGAATTTCTTTTCACTAAAATTAGCTCCTAGGGAGTCATGATCTCAAGTAAATACAAATAAATCGGTCACTGAATAGTACATTTGTGGACCTCATTATTATTATTTGGTGATACTTAAAATACCCTGGTTAAATTATTAGTCGCACTATAAGATTCTATGTTAAATCTTAATTATTAAGTGATACTATAGAGATTTATCGTTTTTATGCGACTGAAACCGGTTTGCACTTGTTTACGTTCGTGTATCAATTAATTAAATTAGACGATATATTAGATAAATTAGACGATATATTATATAAATATGGAATATTTATTATATCAAGTATTATATTAGTATAGTATAATAATTAGACCAAATTATTAGAGAACTGCAGTTTTTTACTAATGACATGCTTTGCGCAAGTTTATACGCGATACTTTTATAGTTAAACATACATGTAATGGGTTTTTATTCGGAAGATATACCTCATACTTGTATTTATTTTTAGCGTATAGCGCTACAATGTTAACCAACTGATACGCAAACGTAAACAAGTGTAAGCCGGTTTCAGCCTCCTAAAAAAAAAAGCTGTATAGTATCACCAGATAATTAAAATTTTGCATAGATTCTTATAGAGCGTGTAATAATTTTTCCAGGAACTGTAGCTTTTTGGATAAGGTTCATTTATTAGATAAGATTACATATTAAGGTTGTAGTAATTGAAAAAAAGAAATGACTTACCTGCAAAGTATGTAACAAAAGCGACGAGGAGAGTTGTAAGAAAAATAAGGATTATAGTAGCTAACTTCCAGGAACATTTATGTGCGCAAGTTTTTTGAAAATGGAACCTGGAACTATTAATGGCAGTGAACTTTGATGGAGTTGTAAAAGGAGGTCTTGTGGGTTGTTGTATGAGTTGAGGATTGACACAATTGGCAATGGGCACCATAGGTCCAGTTGTAGAACTAGGAGTACTACAATACACTGGTAATGGATTACTATAAGTGGGACCTCCACTATGTTGCGGTTTTTTCCCATCATCACATTTCTGAATTTGTTGTGGCTGACTATAGATTCTGAGAGAAAATCATTAAAAACTATGAAACAAACTGTTACAGATAATTTAAAGGAAAAACATACTGTGTACATTTTATGAGCAATATTTATGTGCCGATAAATGAAATAGACTATCTCGTGAGAATAATGTAAAGAGTGAATAATTTGTAGTATTTAGAAGTGCAATCCTAATTGCCTGGTTGGTCGGCCCAAGACTTCAGCCGGCCGAACACTTCCCGTGTAGTAAATGGTGACGTGTTAAATCTGTCCCTCCGTGTTCCCATAACAAATCAATACCTCTGAGGGTACGGAAGTTTCCTCGTCTTCTGGATTGGGTTCAAAATGACAAGGTAATAGAGTTGAACATTAATAGTCGTAAACCCAAAAATTGGATTGGCTGTTCAACGACGGCAATCCTAATAGTAAAATATTACTAAATCCATTTATTTTGTATTATATTGTTTAAGTATTTTTTACATTATCGCCACTTTAAAGAATGAAAGACCAGCTCTCCCCTATTGTTTTTTTAGTTCATTTGTCACACTGTCGATCTCCTGCAATCACCATATCACGTGTTGATTCATTACTTTCAGAAAACATGATTCACTAGACTATTATTGGGTGTACATATAAGTTCCCGCCGTTCGTTACAAGATGGCAGAAGGTTACGTAGAAATTGACGAGTGTCAAACGCCGTATTGTACATCTTGTATAACCTTAATGTATCAGTGATTCCGTATTAGCATTACGTAATTGTTTTTGTGCAAAAATGTTGTTGTTGTAGCAGTTCATTTACGTCACACTAAAGCTGCACAATGGGCTATTGGCGAAGGTCTCGGAACCATCTCTGAGGATGATCCGAAGACATGCCATCACAATTTTGATCCTCTGCAGAGGGGATGGCACCACCGCTTCGGTAGCCCGACGATCTGCACGCGAGCACTTTACGGTAGAACGAGGACCGATCCCGCACACCCTCGGTCCTTACGCAGTAAGTGGTCACCCACCCGCACACTGACCGCTTGACTTCGGTGATCTGCTGAGAACCGTGTCTCAACAATCCGTTTACTGAGGGACGCAGTTTTGTGCCAAATGATTTGTGGGAACTTTTGATTTACTTCTTAGATTTGAAGAAATCTGCAGCATCGAGCGCTTTTGGAGAAGCATATAGCGAAATTGCTTTAAGTGAGAGAAGTTTTCGTGAGTGCTTTCAGAAGTTTAAAAATGGTGAGTTTGACGTGGAAGACAAAGATAGCAATGGAGGGTCGAAATTGTACGAATACAAGGAATCGGAAGAAGATTCGTCCCAAATGCAAGAAAAAACTTGCTCTTACATTACAATTGCCTCAGCAAGCAATTTCACATTGTTTAAAATTGTTGATCCAAAAATATGGATTCCACACGAACTGAAGCCCAGAGACATTGAACGTCGATTTTAAATGAAAATTGCTATTTAGAAACATTGAATGGGAAGTCCTAGCCTATCTGATTATCACCTATTGAGGTCGAAGTTGTGCAGAAACCAAGGAATGAGTCGATTCCAAATCCAGAAAGATAAGAAAAAGTCTTGTCCAGTACTGGAGAATAATGTATCATTTTTTCACAATCCATAGAAAATGGTGGAAACTTATTTGTACTCCCAATATTTAACAGGCGTTTCCTTTTCGTCCATCTAGAAGACAAGGGTTTGAACTTAAAACTTTGGCATCCGTTGAGCAAGAAACGGGACAAAATATACGCGAACCACAGTAAAAATTGCGTGTTTACAGTTCTAGCTTTAGATGTATATAAATTACGTGTTTAGGTCATTAAAATTATAATATTGTTTAAAAAAATAGATTGTCTTAAAATTACCTTTCATTGTCATTGATATTGGAGTTGTTTCTAAGCTCCTGATTATCACTGTCTTCTATGAGTGGTGTTGCATGGTTACCTAGACTTATATCTGTAAAATCAAATCCAGATTCATGATTAATCAATCAAAACTTCGGATAATTAGGTATAGTATTAATTCAGTCAAACATTTTAAATATTAAAAAACGATTTTTCTTTATATTACCTACATGATTTGACCAAAAGTATACCCTTTTGATAGTTCATCACAGCTGCATACAAAATCATTGATTTGAATGGAATTCGTTTCAAAGTATACAATAGGATTGGAAAAGTTTTTGAACAGCCATTTTTTCAAATCATTGAAAGTTTTGATTTGTAAATGGAAGTTCCCTAGAGTCTCAGAGTTTGTTTCTAATCTCCGCTATGGGTTTTCAGGTACATCAAAAATAATACTTTTTATACAAGAAATTTCATTTTTTGAGTATTTTATAGTTCATTTGTTTTTTGTTAATTTTGCGCATGAAATTAACTAAACAGTGTCAGAAAGTTCTTCAAAGCTATTGTAAACATAGGCAATTTTTCTAAAAAATTTTGTTTTTATTACAGAAGGATAATAATTAGAAGTTTGATCATGTAGAAATACAGGGTGGAAAAATATACCTTAACATTTTTCCGATATATAGCGAAATTTCCAAAAAGGGAAATTAACACTAATGGTCTTCGACATCCTTCCAGACAAAAGTGTTGGGAAAGTATTTTTTTTTTTTAGATTGCGAACACTTTTTGAATTTTAATAATCAAACAGCCACACTTTCAAAAAAATAATTCTCCTTCCGACTCGGAACTTTAATTAGCACTAGTTTATTAATATGTTTGAGACCAACATTTTGAATCATTAAGATTAGACAATCCGATAGCTGGAAGAAAAGTCAACGTGCTTCAGAAAAGTGGATTCAAATTATCATAGAAAATTAATTTCATATAATCAGAAAGAATATTTACGTTTTCAAACTGCTATACCAATAACCTTTCAAAACATAAAAAAAAATTAAGTATTGTGTATAGATTTTGGGTAACAGCGTACATCAGTAAAAATCGAGATTTTTTTAAGAAAATATCTTGTTTTGTGTCACACTTAATGTTAATTTGCATGTTTAAAGAATTCAGTTGAATCGATGAGTTTAAATACAGGTCATTTACAGACGATTTTTTTACAAGGAATTCATTAAATTACACTAGTAAAAGAAGTTAGGAGAATTGCAGACTTGGTCGCTTATCTCTAGAGCTACTGGACCGATATTAATGAAATTTAATCTGTAAATCATTTTTTTTTGCTTACTCTACAACCGCTGTTGTTTCATACCTTCTGACAGCATGATCATGCCTGTGTATTACAGTAATTGAGTCAATATATCAAATTTTATTAAAATCTGTCCAGAGTAGCAGAGAGCCAGTGGATTCCAAAAATTGTGAGAATATGTTTTCCTATAAATGTATGAATGAGGAGTAATTAAAGGAGTGTTAAATGATGATACCTTGGGACGGGAATGCTGTCAACATTGTGGGACGGTAGGGCGGCTCTGATTCACATTCACTTTCTAAATATCCTAATTCTAAATATCCTAATCTAGGCCTTCGACCAGATCTTTGTTTTTTGCTTAACAACAGCTGTTTCATACCTTCCAATAGCATAATCATGCGTGTGTATTACAGTAATTGTATCAATATATATGAAATTTCTTTAAAATCGGTCCAGTAGTTGTAGAGAGCTAGTGGATTCCCAAAAATGCGAGAATATGTTTTCCTATAACTGTATGAATGAGGAGTAATTGAAGGAGTGTTAAATGAGGATACCTTGGGACGGGTATGCTGTCAACATTGTGGGAAGGAAGGGCGGCTCTGATTCGCATTCACTTTCTAAATATCCTAATCTAGGCCTTCGACCAGATCTTTTTTTTTTTTGCTTACTCTACAACCGCTGTTTCATACCTTCTGACAGCATGATCATGCATGCGTATTACAGTAATTGCATCAATATATCAAATTTCATTGAAATCGGTCCAGTAGTTGTAGAGAGCCAGTGGATTCCAAAATATGTGAGAATATTTTTTCCTATACATGTATGAAGGAGGAGTAATTGAAGGAGTGTTAAATGAGGATACCTTGGGGCGGGTATGCTGTCAACATTGTGGGAAGGAAGGGTGGCTCTGATTCACATTCACTTTCTAAATATCCTAATCTAGGCCTTCGACCGGATCTTTTTTTTTTGCTGAAATGACTCTACAACCACTGTTTCATACCTTCTGACAGCATGATCATGCATGTGTATTACGGTGATTGTATCAATATATCAAATTTCATTAAAATCGGACCTGTAATTGTAGAGAACCAGTGGATTCCAAAAAATGTGAGAATATGTTTTCCTATAAATGTATGAATGAAGTAATGAGGGAATGTTAAATGAATGAGGAGAAATTGATGGAGTTTTAAATGAGGATACCTTGGGACGAGTAGAGTGTTAATGAGAGTTCTGGACCAGGGGAATCAAAATCGGAGTGCGTAACCCAATTTTTATAACATTGGTGTTAAAAAGCACCATAATATATAAACCCCCACCCTCTAAAACAATGGGAGAAAAAACTAATCTATCGCACCCACTTTTAAAAAACAATTGTATTCTAACTCCATAAAAAAACAATAAAAATACGGCTAAATGGCCTACCAGGTCAGCGTACGACAGCGTACTAGAACTCCGATTCCAACAGCTGTTTGCGAATTCTAGAACCGAAGTCCTATTACACTGACCCGGCCTACATGGTCCGAACTTAGAAGGGGACAGATAGCACAGGAAAAGACGACACACACACATAAATACATATAATTGGACATGGAGACCACTAGTCTCCCCCACCACTTATTGCCGATGATGCTCCGTGGGTGTGTCCCTGTGAGCTTAACGCAAATAGCATAACACTACTCGCGAAAGCTGCCTGGGGATCGAACCAGCGATCTTTCTGGTTGCTAAGCGCTTATACTGTGTATTTTACCACTGAGCTATGGGTACCCAGTTCCTTATCTACTTGTCATCCTTATAAGCATCACACTACAGACGAAAATCATCGAAAAAACCGTTTAAAACAAGTCATTTTCCAGGTATTATGCGTCGAAACCCTAAAATATCAACAACTACAATTTATCCGATCAAAAAAACACTGTATAAATGATCATAAAACAAATTTGGAAAAAGATATTTAATTTTCTCATTCCATTTTATAATCATTTTATGCTGCCATCTCGTGACAAGAGTCTACGGCTTATGAATAAATATATCTGATTCTTTTTCCTGAGGTCACAGTCTTGTGTTGTAACAGGAAATATGCAAGTGTTCGAGTGTTCAACCGAACGACTACTTAAGGTCGAAAAATAATGAAAGTCTGATTCAAAACATGTTTTCAGAAGAAAGAATGATTATTTAGAGAGCTCTTTCGCACAACTCAGTTTTAATTAATTATTTATTGAAAGTAATGGTTGCTACTACGCTCTTAAAATAAATAATAATAAATTGATTTAAAGAGAAGATTCCTGTATATAATTACGAAATACATTTTATAAACAAAAAAAAAATGGATACGGACGAACAAACATGTCGGACCAAACAGTTTCACTCATCTCTTTCTCAGCAATACGCATCCTAAGCCATATTATATCGATTCTTTCAAGTATCCGTATGCCACGCTAATCTTCCTTTATAAATCATCACTTCAAAAGTTACAATTAACTATACTTGAAGCTGAAGACAATAGTGAGGAGATAGGTCGCTGTTTTCAGAAATTGGAAGAAAGATATGAAAAAATAGTAGATAATTTTCGAAAAGATTAAATAGAGTATAAAATATATTTTTTTTAATAGTTCTAAAAGACAGTTCAAACCTAACATATGTGTTTAGTTGATAGTCTTTGAATCAAGTCGCAAATAAGTTTCTTCATTAAAATTAATTTCAATGATTTTTAATCATTAAAATTTAAATACCTATATATAGAACGTTAAATGAGGTTATCAGTCAGTTCACATAAAATGTCACATGCTTTTATCTTAACTTCAAAGTTTTCTTCTTCTTGGGCTATTTTGCACATTTGAGTAACATATCTTGCAATTATCGTATGAATCTCAGGGAATTCTTGTAAATCATTTGTTTCTTCATCCAAAGCAAGAAGTAACTTTTTACACATACCGATCAGACTTGTCATTCTTCTATTACGTCCGCTATACAGAGTTCCCAAATCTTCTAATAAGTCGTAAGAACTTTCTTCCATCATATTTCCTATTTATTATACATTTCATTTCTTTAAATGAAAATAAATTCAATACAGTATTGTTATTTTAAAAAAAACATTTTAATGGTTTTTGTCACCATTAAAATTAAATGTCTGATGCTACATATCGAATCTAAACATGTGAGCGGGTTGCGCTTTACCGCAATGTCTGCTTCCTAGGTATACGAAGAAAAGGGGTTTAATTTCATTGAGCTTTAAATAGTCTGATGCTTTGCTATCAAACCTTTGCGGTAAACATATAGCGGCTCCGTCATCTAATTGCACAACAATTTTATCTCATTACTTTGTTGTTATTTGCTTAATTTCAGAAACCGGGTACTTTTGATCTACGATTAGCTCATCCATCCTTTTAAAAGACTCCAGAGAACTGAATGCGTTTAACTTGTTCAACAATTCCATTTTTCTTCTTATTTATATATAGAAATATTCTCTTTAAGTGTATTTAATATCCCCTAGGTATTATTGAAATGACCTCAGAGAATACTATATACTTCCCAGTACTTTTAGCTTGGATCTTCTTTAATGAGTGTATCTCTTCTTCTTGTAATGTCTCAAAGGGGAGATAAATAAGTGACCCGTTCTCCAAACGAATTATGATTTTATCATTATGGTAAGTAATGTCAGAGATCTACTTTCTTATAAGTTCTAATACCTAAAGAATTAAGTTTTTCCATTTATTCCTACTACTAAAATTCTAGTTTCTCAATATGTAAATAAGGTCTTAATTTACACCTTCCTCCTGTTAGGACTGATAATGTTAAAACTTCATTT